GCTGTTCCTGGGCTCTGCGGTGACTCAGTTTACCCCCTTGGCTCTCTGGACTCACTGGTGTGTTCTTGCCTTTTAGGCTCCTGCGTGAAATGCAGCAAAGGGGTGTTTGGGGCCGGCCAGGCCTGCCAGGCCATGGGCAACCTCTACCACGACGCCTGCTTCACCTGTGCAGCCTGCAGTAAGTGTGGGGCTCCTGTGGGGGCGCGAGAGGTGGCCATCCTAGAGACCCTAGGCTCACAGTGGGGGGGGGCTTTGCAGCAGTGAGCCCCAGCAGAGCAGGCACAGGGGACTCAGCCCGTGTGACCCAGTGCAGCCTGAGCTACACTGCAGCAAGACCCTGTCTCAAAAACATAAAAAAAGCTGGGTGTGGTGGCACACCCCTGTAATCTCAGCACTTGGGAAACTGAGGCAAGAGAATCTTTGCAAGTTCACATCCAGCCTGGCCTACAAAGTGAGCTCAAGTCTGAGCTGCATACTGAGACCCTGTCCCAGAAAGAAAAAAAGGGGTGACCATCAGGAGATGCCAGGGAAGAGTGGGCTGGGTGGGGAGGTCCACTGCGTGTCTCCCACGGAGACTCAGAGTCATCCGAGTCTCCTCGCTTCCCGCTCTGACCTGACCTTGTCCTTGAGCCCTGTGGTCCTGTGGGTTGCAGGATCATTGTTGCCTGCCTCCCTCCTGGGGACGCCTAGCCTGGCCTCCCTGACACCTGCTCTTCCCCTTCACCCTGTGGCCACTGTTACTGTTCCCAGTCGGCCGAGAGGTTATGCAACATCTTTGACTCCTGTGAGTAGCTTCTCTGTGTGGGAACCGTGATCACGTGATCCTTTAATATTTATCTTTGACTTTTATAGTTGTTTCTCAATACTGGCTCGACTTACCAGGAAAAAAAAAAACAAAACTGAGCAGAGGAGTTTTTCATCTCTGGAGTTACCTTTTGGCGCAGGGAGGGTGTTTGGGGAAGCGACGCAGACTTCTGAAGGCGCTGCCGCGAGAGCGCGCTGGGGACCCGCCTGCTGCCGGCCGAGCTCCACCTGCGCTTTTGGAGTCAGGGACGCGCGGTCCTCCACAGCGCCCCTCTCCGGGTCCTCAGGAAGGGGCGCGGCAGGTCCCCAGCCATGGCTCGGGCTTGGGCCTCAGGCACAGCGCACGCCCCGCCGGTTCCACGTGGGCCACTCGGTGGCCCGTTTGCCCCACACCGTCGTCGCAGCTGTCCTGGACCCTCGGGCCTGTCACTTCCTGCTTCCTCTCGCGTGCTCTGAATTCCC